TTTATTTTTGTCCGCCATGTTTTGTTTTGTTTATGTCTTAATGTCAGTTCACATATGGTGTTGACGGTTGTTTAACGAGTTTTGATGTATCTGGTGTTAGCGGCGTAGGTATAGGTAAATAGCCAATACTGTCCTTGTAATAAAATATAAGAAACTATAAATACTATCGATACTATTATAGCTTTGTCGAGATATATAATGTTAGAATGTATTTTAAAAACCGGCGCATTTTCCTATAGCGTCATAAGAACATACACGGAAACAATGGTCAGCAAGTCACAGGTAAACTGCCGTATAATTCAATTGTGCAAAAGACTTGCACACAATATTATTATTTCATTTATTTTTCAGCTTCATTCAGCGTGCCAGCGTATATATTATATTAAGTGCGGCTAAATAACGTGGGCAAATCGTCACGACATGTTCAGCTGGACACACTTGCACTCTCTACTGCGAAATGCAAACACGATATCTCGTTAGACCAGTTCGCCTTTCTTTTGGAGTACCGTTTTTTAGAGAAACCTCTTTATACGCATATCTCGTTTACCAACAATTTGGACACCCCCTCTAAATGCATTTAAAACATATCCGGTTTTAAGTCGAGATAATTGAAAATTTACATTGCCAATATTATGTTCAGATATTGGTACATAAATATTATATACCCACTGTAGTCTACAACGTGTTCATATAATTATAATATATATTTATATATACATATTAATGTTGTATTTGTTTTATTTATAAACTTAATATGGCTTCGCACGCGCGAATGTTTTTCGTACGTGAAAGTGAAAGAAACGAGAATAATGTAATAACGTAGACTAAAAAACATTCAAAATAACACACGTTAGGGATTATGCAGCAATAGTCGGAATATTTACTATAAATCCGTCGTCGTATTACATGTAAAATTAACAGTTAACATTTAAAATAAATAAGTTACAACAATGGTTTTGTATTAATTTAATGTTTGTGTATCGACAGAATATTCGAGATGATGCAGTGAATCATAAATTCAATTGGTTTTTAACACATAGGTATCTGATTTACTCTTTCGAGTTTTAGAAAACTGAATAATTGTAATAAATGTGTCGAATTTTTTATGTTATACGATTATTTAAAAATTTCGTTTTAATAGATATAAAAGATCTACAGGTATTAAGAGTACAGTAATGAATTGTAATGATTAAAACAATACACAGTTGAAATTATAAAGATTTTATTAAATATTGGCTGTGAGGATTAGCGAGTAGTAGTAATTATTATATGTAATTTCAACATAAATTGTTTTGTCTTGTATTTCGTTATAACATTCGAGTTAATGTGCACGACCGTTGAAATCTTTTATTTGTGTCGAATCCGCGTTTTTGTTGAAAAATTATAACTCTTATAAATTTGTTGGTTTAATTTTTTTTTTTTAAAGTTTTTTTGTAGACAGTAGTCACAATTAGAAATTAAAACGTGTAAATGTACTTTGGTAACCAATAGTAGCGGAGAAAATCGCACGACGATAACAATCACGCACACTCTAAAACAGTTATACTCTACTCCACAGTCTACTCACAATCTAACGCGGAAGTGAACGGTATATTCGCGATGTAATCCGCAGACGAACAGTGTGGTGAGAAAATAAGGATTCGCGAAGATCCTTCTCTGCGGTGTTTTAGAACCAATTACCGAGAGATTCGGACGAGCAAACCAGCTGGTATGGGTGACATTCAATAAAAGTGTGGCTGTGCACGGTAGTTTTGCGTAGCAAATACAAGATCAAGGATTTCCTATGCCTATACATCCATGAACAACTACGCGCGGCCTCTATTAAAACAAGATACCGGCCCGAGAACAAGGCTGTTTTGAGTCGTTTGAGAAATAGAAAAAAAAATCCCTAACCTTGTGCAAAAATGTTTCAATAGTAGAATTTATGTTACAAAACTCATCTCCATAATGACATAAATTCTCGCCGTGATTTCTTAACGTATTCTAATAATTCAAACAAACGAGACACTAGTAGAAAATTATAAGACATAAATAACAATAATTTTCGAAGCTGTCAAGTTAACATTTTTCATGGAGGTTTCCGTAAATAAATTACTTTAGCAAAACATGAATTATAAAATAGTGAATGTAGCTCATTAATGCTAAATAAATCGAAATTCGATGTAAATATTTAAACGGTATTTTAAAGATTACAGACGTTGTGATAGTAGAAATTTCGTAAAAAACATTCTTGAAAAAATTTAATAGGTATCCAAACAAATCTGATTATATAGATGCATAAATAAGAATTCATGCAGATTTTGTTTGTTAAAATAATTAAATGTACCTATTTTTGATTAATATATATACTTAAAAATTAATAACCCAAATTAATTTAACTAGGTATATAAATACACAAATAAAATAGTTTGTAGACTTGTATAGGTATTATTGCATGAAATGCATATAAAATGATACCTATTAAACTGAACATGTTTTTATAAACCACTAATGTAACGTGTGATATTAGTCAATTAATTCCTATACTGAGTATTAATACTCCAATTATAAAAAGAAAACTAATAAAATAATCAAAAACATTTCCTGTAAGATTTTTTTTTTTTTTGTTTAATTTTTGAACTATTATAAATGTATTAGATAATTATGTTCGCGTTCAGTGAAGATGATGTTGAATAGCTATCTATTTCCTAATTATTATAATAACTATAACAAGGAAAAGAGTTATTTTGGCAAACGCAGTCACCGTTAAAAATATGCATTAAATATGTAAGAACAGAAAAAACATTTTAGAAATTCAGTCTTCAAAAATAAAAATATTTTAATACAAACAACGAAAGTCAAAATTTAAAATGTTTCTAAATTAATATATCAATGAGTTTATGTTAATTATACATTATATTGATAATCAAAATCACTTTTAACAAAAAAATATATAGCTTAAGTTAATACTACATAAATATACAGTGCTCAAATTAAATAAAATTAAGAATTATTAATATTTATATTTTAATGATATTAAGTCTTTAATAATGTTTTTACATAACATATAAATTAGATAAAATATTCAGTCTGATAATTTTAATAATCTAACTAATAGTGACTTAGTGGAAAATTTGGGGGCCCTAGAGAGGCTCCTTAAAACAGAAATTAAATTAATGATCAACGATACTGTAAACTAATAAAAAAAATACATGCTTAATAATGATTAATTATTTTATTATCTATGAATTTATTTAAACCGATAACATAGTATACTTAAAAATGAAACCTTGGTTTAATTTTAAAATCATCATAGCTCCATACCTTTCAATCCTATTAGTATCGATATTATAATGAATATATTATCCTAAGCCCATTCGAATTATCAGTTAAAATACAATCAAATTTTTAATAACATCTGCTTAACAACTTATAGAAAGTGGTTATTATAAAATAAATTTTTTATCGCAATATGATTATTCCCATATTAGGTATATTAAAAATCTAATATCGGGTTGCACGAAAAATTGATTAATTTAATGGTCCAATAAAATGTAATAAACCAATCGTGGGCCACTAAATTATGTTAAGGGATTAATAGCTCATTAATCATTATATTGATTCATTAAATGTTTAATGATTGTTCATATAACCCGAAATAAGTACTAGAAAATATGGTCTTAAAGTGTATTAAAAAATTTTAAAACCATAATTTAAAGAGATGCATTATATATTAATGGATAAACGACCATCACTCTGTATCATTTTTTTTTTTTTTTAAACTAATATCTGCCATTAAGTAAATATAAAACAAAATATGATACAAATAATTTATTAAATTATTAGCTTTTTACATAATTTATTATTCACTGTGTTTTATGTAAAAATATTATAATATTCATCGTCAAGACTTGTATGTTTTAAATTGTTCGAATTAAAAAATTAATGTTTTGTAAATGAGTGTAAAATATTTAAATGTATTTAAAAAAATAAAATATATGTATTGATAATAGATACATAGAACATAATATGATACGTAGAAGGTAGAATTATAAATTGTACCGAATCAAAACGACACAAATTAATTAACTTGTAGTTGACACACATTTATATTATATTTGTATAGTAATTTGAACACAATTTTATTTCAATGCAGGTGATTACTGATTTTTAATTTAACAACATAAATGCGTAATCCGACAAAAATTATAAAGTGATATATTTTATTATGAGAGATCCACTGCATTAATTAATTTTAAACAAAATACGATTTCGTTATATTCAGGCAAGTGCTTAATATTATGTTCGATTTATCTAACAACTATGTATAATTGCATTCGATACGTTTATAGGGTATTGTAATTAATTTATAACTTTCTCGCGCTTAACCATTTTTAAATTGTCATTTTCGAAGTAACGATTAGACGACGCCTATAAGAACATTGATATTAATGGAAGTATACAACACACGTTATCATAACACATCAAGCGTGCAAAACATTTTTATAGTCAAAATCACAACGTTTGGAAGTAAATTTAAGAGATCGTGTAATGCGCTGTTCGTAGATTAATTAATGTTACGTAGGTAATTGTAATACGTTAATGTATATTAATCATACTTTTTTAACGCGGTGATTAAAACTTAGTTTGAAGCGTGTGTACGAGTCACCGAGTAAAAGGATAATACAATTCTTCAATAATAATGTAAATTATTTGTCGTTCATTTTTAGAAAGTATTCAGTCACGATAGGATAAGGGTCACATACTTGAATTATAGATATATGCATCATCACTATTCACATTCAAAACGTAAATATTCGGGAGAAAAATGAAGTAGCGTCGACCATTGGAATTATTATTTAATAGTTTCATTATTAATATATGGTATTGTCTACAATGTGAAGTTTTCAATTATCAAAATCAATGACTGTAACTCGACCCCGTAAACGAAGCACAATTGACGGGTGGGTTAGTGTAATGTTATGATCTATGACATGATTGATATGCTATAGGAAAAATACCTGAGGATTTGCGGTTGACTCTTTTTGGGACGTTGGCCACTGATTGAGTTTTCTTACCTGTAACAAAACGAATTCAAATAATTAACATGCGCTCAAATTTGAAGCTATTAAAAAACGTGGTAATAATAATAATACACTTAATAAAATGATTATTATAAATAAGTAATATTGTACAAATAATGCCATTAAAACTAATTATTATTATACTGCAATAGATAACAACACGAAAAAAATGTCGACATAAAAATTTATAACGATCGAAGTGTATTAAAAATGTATTACAATATTTTTGATTTCGTCCGATCGTTAATTTACTCCTAAAATAATTTCAAGTAGTTAATTCGTCCAACAAATAAGAGAGTTGTGTTGCTCACACGTTCGAAGGAACGTCGAACATTCGCCACTGACCGGTTATTACGTGTTTCGTTTCAAGTGATTTGGTAAAAATTTTCAAATTTTATACTGCACTTGGGTAAAAATATTACATTAGACAATATACATCGGAAATCCTCCTTAAATACATTAACTTTGATAATCTTCACATTGTATTATAGATTTTTCTAATTTGCAGTAAATACGACGACGATGCCATACTATTATTGTAGTAGGCACATTTGTCTATGTATTCTACATTTTTGTCGTCCATTGAACATAAAAAAAATAATGTATTTTCATACATTACATAATATTATTTCATCTATACGCGCTTATTGCATTATTATTATTTTTGAATAATTTGTCCCTTTTGAAACAATTTCCGTCCGCATTATACACGACGTGCACTACAACTACAAAAGGACGACCATTTACACGTATATAAATGGTATAATATCTTTTTCGGTTTAATGTTTTATAATATTAATAATAGTACCTACTTAATGGTAACAATAACGACAACAACGACAAGGTATTAAGTACTTTGTTTACCAAACCAAATGTTCCCGCGTACACAGAAATATTACACTTGTGACTAGTTATGTGGTATATTAAAAACGATGGCTTTTAAATATATATGTATGACATACGTGTCTGTTTTACATATTTATAAGACGTCCGCCGCTTCGTATCATGTCGCAATCCATTAGGTTATTAAAAACGTGTATTATACACTCGCGCGATTTTAGTACTTAAGTTGCGCTAGAAAAAAAATCGTTTTCTTTTCCCTTCGTTTAGGGTTCCCGAGCGCGTTGGAACGAATTGGAAAAAAAATTGACCGAATAATAATAATAAAAACCGCCGTGGGGATTTCATTCTGTGCTAGACGCGGAAAACGAGCCGGAATACGCTTCGCTGGCGCCCGGCATACCTAACCTAATATTATTATAATAACGACGGGCGCCGGTCACGCCAATCTCCGGGGACGAGCATATAGCTTTTTATAATATTTTTCTCCGGTGTCCAATAATTTATTAGTATCTACACACGCGCTAGGTCTCGAGTGGTTTATCTATCGTATAGGTAGGTACCTTCGTTAATTTTCGTTCGTCGTCACACATCAATCACTTAAAAACGTAATGTAATTTTTTTATGATTTTGTTGTTGTCTAAGAAACCGAGGGTGGTGATGTGGATAAAGTTTTGTATATTGTTATTATTATTATTGATAAAACCTCCGCGACAATATCAAAGTTTTCGTATTTTTCTGATTTACTAGTCCCGCATGTACGGTTTCCGTCTATATAACTAATAGCACACATAAGTTATATTATTACCTTGCTAGTCTTACCTTCAGAATAATTCATTTTACTCTGTTATTTTCAATATTAAAGTGAATCGAACTAATATAATATACGGTATCAAGTTCAAAGGTAAGAATAGTGTTCAATAGGCTTCGCGAATATTTTTTTATGTTACTGAAAATCGTAATTTTTTTTCGTACACCAATAAATGCTCGTCGTTTTTACAATCGTAAAAAGCCGACGTCGAGGCCCTGTACACGGTAATAGGTATTCTTACCTTTTGATTTGATAACGAGTCGATTCGCTCTACCGTTAAAAATGACGGAGTTCAATAGACTTTTCCGATCGGAAAATCGGGCACGTTTCGCGTTAGTGAGATGCCGACGACGACGACGCCGTCCTGTCTGTAATTTGGATCCGACCGGCCCAATAGTTTTCCCGTTGATTGTGACGAACGCACACGTTATACGTACAGGTTATAGGCATACCGGCTTGCCTCACACAATAACACACCACCCGCCTACCCGCCCATCCACACAGCACTGCTGTACATCACCCGGCGCTCACTCAACCCAGTTCGACACACCGACCGCCCGACCGCCGTACGGTAACCTAACCAAACAGGACACGTGTCCCGTACGCACGCATCATTGTCTGAGGAACTCCACCTCCCACCAATCACCGATCGGGCTGAAAAAATGTCGATCGGTTCGGAGAATAATTCGAAACAATGCATAATGCAGCATTGGATTATTGCCCCGTCGTCGTGTGGACATAATAAAGTAAAATTATTACATATTTTCCGTGGTAGGAGGTGGTGTGAAATTTGTTAGGTTCTAAAACGCTGTATAAATTATATTGTGCTCATTATTTCTGTCGGGTCCTTGCAGCGGAACTCATTCCGAAACACATGTTCGCTCGGAAACCCATGCCACAACGCACTACGACGTGGAGCAAACTATAGGCTGTTGATACGATCCGTAGTCACCAAGTTAAAATACTCGAGCCATTTTGTGTAAATACTATATTATACTACATTACTACAACGATATCTCTACAAAAAAAAAAAACTCTCGAAACACCGGAGTTAACCACTCTATATCACTTTGTTCCGACATTTATTTGGCGATGCCGTTGGGATTCACGGTATATTAAATAATTGCAATAGTTTTTGGAACGAAAATTTTGTTAGATTTATCATTACAATATTCAAGTAATTGATAGTATTACACCTATAGTATATAGTATACACTATAAGTAACAGACATTTTTTTATTTTATTCGAATAATAAAATGGCTTCTTTCGATTGTACTAGATATTGCTGACTAATGTGCAGTTGTTTTCCGTAAAAGAAAATGTCATTATTTTAATTTTTAACTAGCACCACCGTTATTAAGTAACACTGGATTATGTTATGCTCATAATTTATTACAGTATAGATTGATGATTAGTGATTACTAACAAAGCGCATCTTAACATGTAAGACTCCAATGAAACATATTTCTATGTTTAATTTTAAGACATATAATAACGGTTGAAATCTTAAAATGAATAACAAAATGTATAATTTTACCAATATATTTCAACCATAATATTGTCGGTTTGAGAGATTAAAATTTACTTCTAATTATGTGAATAATTTAGTAGACAGAAAAAAAAACTTCAACAAAGAATACCAGAAAAAAGAGCCCTGAAATATAACATTATGTTTTTTAATATTTTAACGATAATTTAAGAACTTCAAATGTTTTTGATGTGTACAGTGTAGTATGTACTTTTGATAATATAATACAAGACAATGTATTATATACACCTATATATTATTTGCACCTAATGAATTAACGAATACAATTTTGATGTTCACTATCATAAAATAAATAGGATTCACGGCGACCTTCAAATATTGTAAAGTACAATCAAAATTAATAACTATTTTCAATATATTACAATAGGTTAATCATTATTCACTTCTGTTATACGCGATACAACTAGCACAGAACGACAATGAACATTTTAAAAGCAAATAATAAAAATTCTTAAACTGAGTGCAATGAATTTATTTATCATTTAAAAAAAAAAAAAAACTCCAGTTTTATACATAGGAGTCGTTTTAAATGTAAATTTTTAAAATATCATAGTGTACTTAAGACTAGTTAGAATATTAAAAATCCAATATAATATGATGGTCTTGATCATTAGTATGTACATAGTTCAAATGAAAATGAAGTAATAGCTTTAAAGTTAAAATATATGATTGAAAAAGCACAATTATTACCCTATAAAACACCAAACCAAATTTATACTAAGGTTGTGAATAATTATACTTAATGGAACTAATGAAATATTAGTTGAATTACTAAAATATCACGCAATACGGATAATTTAAGATCATTGGAGTTACAACGATTCTTCAAAACCAGCGGGTAGAAAATATTTAGTCATTGAAAGTGACTGTATTATTATTATACAGTATCTTAATTTAAAATATAATTTATACTATATTTTACCAGGTATTTTTTTTTATCATAAACTATTCGTTATTTAAAAAATTATATTATTAATATTTAGTACTAACTACTATTTATTACTGTTGTAATTTATTAATAATAATATTATAATTTGTTTATAATATACTTGCATTTATTCGGAATGAAATAAAATGTATAAATATGTGATTTAAAATTCAAAGCTAACTATTGTTTTTAATATTTACTATTTAAAATTATTAATTATAATGCTATGTTTAATCTTAAATTAAATTAAATAGCCGATAAATATTCGAATAATTATGTTTAAAAATTAATTGAATAATTATAATTAAAAATTACTTAAATTGTATTTAGATAAAATGTTATACGAATAACGTCCTGCCCCTACTACCTACATATTTGTATCAAATTAAATATTAATATTTTAAGAAATGTAAGCATTTAAAACTTGTATTTTACCATTCACATATAATTGTGAGTTTATTACTCTGGGGATTTTTTTCCCAGGATCGGGGATTTTTATTTCGAAATTCTAATTATGAGAGTATTTTATAGATATTTATTAGTAATAATTAAGCATTTAACTAAATATATTTCTACAGTGTAAATAATTGCGTCAAATCTAACATATTTATTGAAATGCCGATTTCATAGTTACTAATACATTTTTGTTCAATGTGAATAGCACAGAGATTTTAAAATCATAATTTAAGATGGTATGGATATAAAAAGTGGAAGTATATGACTCCAATATTAATGTTACATCTTAGCTCCATCACAAGCACAAGTAATTTCATACATAATATAGTCTCGCCGTAGACATGATTATTAATATTTTACAGTGCCAACGTAAAAAATTGTAACTCTATATATTAATTATATATAATAT